TGCTGCTTGAGACAGCTGTGAGGGGTCCGGCTCACCAATGGGTCGCCCGACCGAACGAGAGACCCTATTTGCACAAACTTGGCGGATAATTCTAACAAATGAACGTGCGGCATGACCGTTCAGTATATTGGCGGGCGTTTTAATGGTTTTATTTGTCGTGAAGAGGTTCCAAAAACTGGAAGAAAACACATCCAAGGCTTCATGTAAGTTGTTGCGCATGTAAATTTAAGGTGTGCGCGGCGCTTTGCACCGCGGACTGTAATAAACTAACTTTAGAACGGTAAGTTGGACCACAGGTAATTTGAAGTAGACGACCTCCTAACCACCATTTCCTTTTTAGATTATCTGAAAAACAATCTCAAAGAATATACTAATAAATACAATACGTAAAAACTTTTAAACGCCTGCTAGTCTGTTCGTCATTCTTCCTGCTTTTTTTATTGGCTACGTGTTTATCCGCCAAATTATACAACGTAAACTTATGCTATTGTCTGCCCGTTGCCAATATGCGTATATTACGGCCTTATCCCACAGTGGTTGATTGAGTTTGGTCAAAATATATTCATGAAGTGTCGGTCTATGCCTATAGACCTTCAATATACTAGTCTATACCGAGAACATAAATTATAATTTCTAAGAAAATTAAAAAGCTGAGACAATCACTTTGTAGGAGAGCCTACCACCTAAAGCGCTATAACAGTGGATCAGGCTACTAGGTAAACCCTTGCCGCTGTCATCTTCAGATCCGGTTTGACAGAAGAAGAAAAAGGGTGAACGCCAGATGGGAGGAATAGCGCATTCTGTACAGAGGTAGTGGAGAATATTTTAGAGAAGTTTACAATTGGACAAACGGTCGTCCGCTCCCGAGACGGGTGCTATGAGCAGTCGCTGCAGTGAGATCCTGTGCGAGTCAGGAGATGATTGGCCAGACCGGATTGGGGCAGGCAGACTGGTGCATGCACACTTGCTGACAGCCGCAAGGGGTTGAGCGTTGGCCCAGTTTGCGGCACCTGTGATTGGCTGTCCCAGAGGTGGACCGAAATCTGTAATCACGTGACCTCATGCGGGGCGTGACGCCGGAGGCGGAAGGCGCTACAGGTTCACTATAGTGCGTCTGTCAGCGGGGAAGTTACTAGTGATCAATCAAATCAAGTCCACAAGAAAACCCAGATTTCAGATTTTTTCCTGCAGTCTGTTTCCTACCTAAATTATCCAGTCCACATATTGGGGATCCGAATATAACGACGGTTTGACCGGTCTCTGACGCGGTCTACCATACGGCCCCGGGAACGGTAACTCATACGTTAATTATTTTTTCAACTGGTAGTAGAAGTGTGATTAATCTACCACGCTCTCTCCTCTTCTCCTGTCTGGATCAAAGCAGAGGCAAAGGGACTGGAAGCGGGGGAGAGTATAGGTGTCTGTCGCGGCGGGAACCCACACCCAGGCGGGCTACCACACCTCTGGTTTACGCACAAGGGACCAGGATTCCCTACAACAAGAAAAGAGGAATGGTGGATCTCCCATGA